TTGTGCTTGTACATAATGATGTAGGTTTCTGTTCTTCCAACAAGGCAAGGCATGAAAGCTTGGAAGAAGTAGCTCCGACTATTTGCCCGAAACTCGGCAGCAAACACCTGCACACACACGCGAGAAATGTTTGTACATGCATGCATTATGCAGGCCCAGAGACGAAACATTTGCCGAGGAGGTATCCCTTCCCAAACTGAGCATTAAGTATACCCAATCACCTCCAGCACTGGCACGTCCGATGCACTCATGTCAGCTCTCCCTAAACAGTAGATAATCTTACTTTGAATTGGGGTAGATCAAGTATTATTCAGGGGTGGGGGGGGGGGGGCACAAGTCTGAAAAATCTCTTGTGACAAGCAAGCAAGCAAAACAAAAATTAATAATAATTTTCTTTATATTATCATGTCTCTGGTCCCTTTTAGTTTTTGTCTGTCTTTCAAAAGAGGGGCATGTGCTGATTGTACCCCCCCCCCCCAAAAAAAAAGTGACATACATTACATGTACACTGTTTGTGCTAATGCTTTGAATTATGTTTTTTCTGCTTTCTTCACTGTGAACCTTTGTTTACATCATTTAGCATCATCACTAATTGGTATTTAATTGCTGATCAGTGAACATGCAGGTCATTGCATTAACCATTTTATGATTAGCATTCAAAACAAAAAGACAAATAAAATATTCATTGTTTCTTGTGGTGCAGCGATTGGAATGATAAGCATTATCAAAAAGATATTAACCACCATTTAGACAATAAGGTTTGTTTTTAATTATGATAAAATAGATTTACGCTGTGTGCCATTTATTATACAGGGCATACACAGAAGGCCTGCTTTGTAATTTTCCATGTTGCTGGTACTACTTTTGTAGCCACTGTTTACTGCATGAAGTGGCACCAATTGGGGCTGTATTTAACAGATCTTTGGAGATGAAAATGCCTTAAAAATCAAGAACACTTGAGAGTTGAGAGTGTAAAAGAGTTCTTGAGATTCATGAATTATCAAACGCACTCCATTGACTCTAATATGACCGTTTCTCAATGTTGACGTACGACTTCCCCATGCTAAACTCTCTCGTGGAAGAAGTGTCTTGAAAGCTTTGCCAGCAAGCTGTGGCGATAAAGAATAGGCTCCTATCCTTAATACTTGATGAAGTCCGGAACATTTTTTTCCTCGGGAGATTGAACGTCTGTCTATCATTCTTGATCAGCGATCTAATGCTCCAGCCAACTAGTAGCCCTACATGTTCTTATTGGCTGAGGATTCTTTCGTCTGCGGCAGTGAGACTTACCGAATGTTTGATGACTCACGATATTAGTTGCGCTTGGGAAGGGATCTTGGTGACTCTGCCGGGAGGAAGTCACACTATGGACCGCACAGACTTTATTATTGGGTGGATGGGCAGAATATGCTTTTTATGCCTCCGCCACCGAAGGTGGTGCCGGAGGCATCATGTTTTCGGGTTGTCCGTCCGTACGTCCGTACGTCCGTACGTCCGTCCGTACGTCCGTACGTCCGTCCGTACGTCTGTACGTCCGTCCCGTTTGACCGTTATCACAATATCTCAAGAACCATTTAAGATTTAAACTTAAGACTCGGGAATAGTATTTATCACCATAGGAAGACGATCTGATTAGATTTTGGAGTACGTAGGTCAAAGGTCACAGGTCACAGAGGTCAACTTATGAAATTCCTTGTATTGAGTTTGTTAGCGCGATATCTCAAGAACCATATGAGATTTAAACTTCAAACTTAAGGATAGTATGTATCACCATAGGAAGACGATCTGATTAGATTTTGGAGCACGTATGTCAAAGGTCAAGGGTCACAGAGGTCAACTTATGAAATTCCATACATTGAGATTGTTATCATGATATCTCAAGAACCACTGGAGATTTAAACTTCAAACTTAGTGATAGTGTGTATCACTATAGGAAAACAATCTGATTACATTTTGGAGCACGTAGGTCAAAGGTCAAGGGTCATAGAGGTCAACTTATGAAATTCCATACATTGAGATTGTTATCATGATATCTCAAGAACCACTGGAGATGTAAAAACTTCAAACTTAAGGATAGTATGTATCACCATAGGAAGACGATCTGATTAGATTTTGGAGCACGTAGGTCAAAGGTCAAGGGTCACAGAGGTCAACTTATGAAATTCCATACATTGAGATTGTTATCATAATATCTCAAGAACCACTGGAGATTTAAACTTCAAACTTAATGAAAGTGTGTATCACCATAGGAAGACAATCTGATTAGATTTTGGAGCACGTAGGTCAAAGGTCAAGGGTCACAGAGGTCAACTTATGAAATTCCATACATTGAGATTGTTATCATGATATCTCAAGAACCACTGGAGAATTTTCACTTCAAACTTCATGATAGTATGTATCACCATATCATAATATCTCAAGAACCACTGGAGATTTAAACTTCTAACTTAATGATAGTGTGTATCACCATAGGAAGACAATCTGATTAGATTTTGGAGCACGTAGGTCAAAGGTCAAGGGTCACAGAGGTCAACTTATGAAATTCCATACATTGAGATTGTTATCATGATATCTCAAGAACCACTGGAGATTTAAACTCCAAACTTGTTTAAATTGCTCTATGGCGGAGGCATCATTTTCGACTGCGCGCAGTCAAAATTCCATCTAGTTTCTTTCTTTCTTTCTTTGAGGCTACCATAGAAAGATCAGTTCAATCAACAAATGCCGTTGATTTGATTAGTGTATCATGTTTTAATGTAAGGTAGACCTCACACTATGGACTGCAGAGACTTTATTATTGGTTGGATGGGCAGAATATTTTTTTTTTCTTTCTTCGAGGCTACCATAGAAAGATCTGTTCAATCAACAAATTCCATTGATTTGATTATTGTAACATGTTTTAGTGTGAGGTAATGTAGAACTCAACCAAAACTGATTGTTGGAGAGAAAAAAAGGATGTTATCTAAGTGCTAAATGGAGGATAATTTGTAAGTTTTTAGTTTGTAAAGGTGGATTTTCTGCATTGTATTATGGGATATGGTGAAGGATTGTCCTTTTTTTCTCTTAGAAATTACGCACAAAGCACATTGTATGCGAATTGCACTGTAATGATAATTTATACCAAATAATTCTTCATTTCTATTTGAAACAAATCTATAGTCATCTGTTATCACTTAACAACTCCACACCTCTTTGTATTGTTTGTGTACATTTGGAGGAGTCTGCATTTGTGACGTCTTTATCAACCACGGTGGCATGATTGCCCTTGAAATACAATCAATGGACGACTGTTTCTAGTATATTCAGTCTTGTGGTTGTAAATTACGGTAGTTTACATTGTAATATTCGGTATTAAATTTTCATTTCCATTATATGTCACATGCTACCAATGAAGTTTAAGAAGGGGGAGGGGAGAAAAAATCACATTTGTAAATAGATTGAGTGGATTTTTGTCCACCGCTTGTTCATTCCACATAATTGGAAAGAGCCTGCTGTTAATTTAATTCCAGAACATTTCCAGACTGTTGAAGACCCATGTTTTTGCTTCAAGAATCTTTCACGAGTTGCAGAAATTCAATAGTCTGATCCAACCATGCATTATAAACCTTTAGCAAACCTCAGGACCTCAAACTCTGAAATTTGCAACAGTTTTATGCATTCATTGTATGAAGAGATCTAAGTATTTTTTTTTTCTTCAGGTCTTCTTTAGCGGGCACAGCATTGAAGATGCAATAAACAAATAAGGGTAAACCTTTGGCAAACTTCATGATCCTCTAACTCCTGAAATATGAACAGATCTGAAGATTTATTTTCTTCTTCAAGCCTTCTTTAGCAGGCCTTCTTTAGCAGGCACATGTTTGGAGATGCAATAAACAAATAAGGTTAAACAAATCCACATGGATGCTCGAATCATTCCTGAAAAACATTTCACAAAAAATCATGAAACTTGGTGGGCAGGGTCATTGTACATGTATACCAAACATGCACTTCTATCTACTGTGCAGACTGCAGTTTGTTGGGCTCCAAACCAATGGATTGGATATTCAGAAGGTCATTGGAAGCCCAATGGGGTCAATCGCTGCAGACTGTTAGCCTTGTGCTCCCAGCCTCTAGGTCAAATTCCTGGCCCATTTTTCATACATCCATCCATTCATTCATTTACATGTACATGTATGCATGTTATGTGAAGATATTTTTCACTGAAGTCGTTGTACTTTACAATATCAATATTACTTAACCTGACTTCTATGAAAACAAGTACAGATAGCTTGTAGTGATGTAGACCAGATGACTTACTACTTTTAGTCCTATTCAAATGACTAAGACTATGGCATGACACTCCCTTTGTACTTGTAGAAGAAGAATTTAAAGACTCAAATTTTCGTCTTAGTGTATATCATTTGCTAAGAGCCAGGAGGGTATAAATTCCATGCAAAATGATGTGAAGTACTAGTAATAATTGTTCTCTCACAGATTCAGCAGACCAAAATGTTCAACATCTTCAGCAATCATCAGTTGCCCTGCATCTATAGCATGATATTCATGCTGGCCAGGCCTAGCTTGAATTATATTTCAATGTCAACCTGGCATATATAAATTATGAATTATGTGAGATAGCAGTTCACCGGCGCTTGCAACAAAAGCCTTGCATTATAAAGGCTTTTTGGCACTTCAATTTATCCTTGGAACCCACTTGTGAAGTTAATGCATTATAAATGAACATAATGGGGTACATGTATGCATGGTCATTTTATTTCATTTATTTATTTTTCATCTTCACTTACACTTGAAAATCATTAGAGTTAGATGCCTGTGCAATAATGAATTTACTCTAGGATTTATCAATGTGCCTAGTTGCAATAATATATTTCATATTAATGTGAATTGTTTCATGTATCCAAGTTTCCCTCAGATATGACTTTCAAGTTTTCTGATATGATATAATTCACTTTCAACATTATCTTCTCTCTTCCCCCCCCCCTCTACCTCTCTTTCTGCAGTAACCCTCCCATATCAGAAGAGGATCTACCCTCTGGAGAATGGTTGTGCCACAGATGCACAGTAGCACCCCAGGTAAGATTGAATATCATGGATCGAACCATTGTGCCTCCACGGGGGTGGCCAAGCATGCCAGTAAGGTACTAGCCAGGATGCACGAGATCCTGGCATAATCATTGATCATTGCATGACATGAGTGCATTCAATTATACTCTACTCCCTCATGCAGTGGTGAAAAAAAAAGAGGTTTTCCCCGTGGCTAAATCTTGTGTGTGCTGTTACAATGTTTCCCAGTACTAGTAAAATGCTGATTCTCTATTCCCTTTTAATCTAATAGTCACGATAGAGAAATATCAAAGATCATTTGATTTAGGTAGATACTGAGTTTCTGCTGCATTGAGCAATTTTCTATGTGAATCTGAACTCGACCTAGATGCAGAAAAGGATCGATTTATTATTCTGTTTTTCTCTCATAGCCACTGTAGTGAAATATACATGTAAAAGATTTTTTGTTTAGGTTAAAAAAAAATGGGTCTTTACTGTATTTCAGCGATTTCTACTTAAAACTGAAATCATCCAAAATGCAGAAAATATATATTTTTCTTTTTAAAATGTGAAATAGTCGCCAAAAGGAAATGTCAAAGATCATTCTATTTTGGTTTTGGTCTCCGCTTCACTAGGAATTTTGCAATGAATGATAAACTCGTCATTTATGAAAGGATTGAGTCTTTATCTTGTGATAGTGAAATATCAAAGATCGTAGAGATGAGCTAACCTTACGTAGAAGAAGATTGCAATTTTCAATTTGATATGATGAAATGTTATTATTATCTTTTTAATGTTATTCCACATTTGATTTGGTGATTTCATATTCCTCAACAAGTTTCATGTAACTAATACTTCTACTGTGCATAGAGAATGTAGCAGCCGAGCTAGGAGATCGTTCCTTGAAGACGAAAATCATAAACATGTTTTCTTCATTGATGGCAGTTTACATGTTGAACATTTTACAGATTTGTTGCATCTTTTTAATATCATATGTTAATTTCACCCCAAAAGATTGAAAAATGGTGTGTTCAAGTGTTTTTGTCATTGTATAAGAAATATTCATACAGGGATGTTCTCATAATGCATGCTTTTGATGTCAATGTGCTGTATGCATTCAACATAAATTCAAATGAATACATATATACAAAATCAGTGTTGCACTCTTGACCATCGTGTTGTCAATTACTTTGTCAATGAATGTAGAATGGAACTGTTATAGTGACCATTCCTTCAACAGGGTCCATCTTCATTTTTGTATTTTATGGAATTTTAATTACAAGTCCAATATATATTCATTACAATGGTATCGATAATTGAATCTACCATAATTTCTCTACATTAGATATGCTTGTTATTGAAAATTTGTTCATTGTTGTCAGTTGACACAACATAGAAACTGTGGTTGCGATTGTGGGAATATGCTTGTTTCGGTTCAGTTTGTATGGCAAGATAGTAAATTACGTATTAACTAGTTAAAGATAAGTGGCCTTTATTGTGTAACAGGGATTGGGTATCTTTGTCTCAGATTCCGAAACAAATTCCTAGATTTACACTGTAGCTCATGCTACAATGATAATTATAAACCTTTAGGTCAGTCAGGAACCCAGGACTTTTACAAACTGATTGCCTGTCTGATTATCAAGATATTTATGATTGGAAATCAAAATTTCATTTTTTTTTTCCTAACGGTTTTTATAACACTACAGTTTATTAGGGAAAATGAGTATGGTGAAACCGGTCACTCAAAGATTTTTACTTTTTTGCGGCACTTCCTGATCATTTTGAAGCGCAAGTTTTTTAGAGCTTCAATATTACACCATAAAACAGACACTGATGCATCTCAGATTTAACATTGTTAAACGATGCCTTCAAGGGGCAAAGTCCATTAATCTCTATGAAAAATGGTCTTTGTATACAGGTTATCTTTTATGCTCATTGAAGAGTGTGTTATATGAAAAAGAAAACTGCAGTTCTTCGGAGATTTGTGGCCTTCATATGCAGGTGGCTACAGATATGGTCGACTGTATCCATTTCCATCTTTTATACTCGCTGAGAAGAAAGTCAATGAAAGGAAAATGCACTGTTAGCAGATGTGTTCGATAGTCCAGTTGACTGTATCTCTCTCTCTCTTTCTCTTACCATATAGCCTTTGAACACAGAGATCACCCTCTCCGACACCATCAAGTCCATCGAGAAGGCGGAGCGCTCCGAGAGAGAGAAGAAGCAGAAGGAGGCTGCTGCTGGTGCTGCCACCGCCAAGGAGAAGGAGAAACAAGCCTCCTCCGCCTCACTAAGGCTCAATGATAGACTGAACGACAGACTGATGAGAGAGGGAAGAGCATGTTTGCGACTTGCCCAGATCCAGGCTTACAAGTAAGCATTTACCTATTCCAATCCAACCCAGGTATTTATAAAGCGCCAATATCTAGTTGCCTAATCAAAGGCGCTGATGAGACTGAAAAACTACCAAAAATGTCTGTTCATGATTCTATTTGGGGAAGACAAAAAAGCAATGACTAATTGTAAGCAATCTGAAATAGCTATGTCTTTAGTTGAGTTCTGAAAGTGGATAACTGGTGACAAGAGCGAAGGAAAACTTGTAAACCAGCAATTTACCTTACAAGTGCAACTAACAGAATAAGTAAGAAATTTTTTGTTAAAATGAAACACACAAAACTTGGAATTGATTGATTTGCTTCGACCCTTGATAACTATGATCAGTTTCCACAAAGTGGGACTTCTTAAGTTTTCTTTATCAATTATCGACAATTTTAAAGGGGACTTGAAAATTATGTCTTGATCTTTACATTATTTGTCAGCTTTGTTCTCAATGTCATGGTAATCAATTGCTCTTTTTCAGAGATTATCGTAATAACCCCTGTCTTTATAATAATAATAATAATAATAATACATTTATAGAGCGCAAAAACTATCCAACATTAAGTATATATTCTACTGCGCTACAAGAGCTCCTGATATGCTTAGATTTACAGTAAATTGAAAAGATGTGCTTTCAGTTTTTATTTAAAGATATTATTTTATATTGTAGGAATTGATTTTTTTTCATTGAACTCCTTTTCTGTGTGCCACAAACGTAGCATGCATTCTATGAAATCTATTCCTATTTCCAGAGAGGCACAAATTGAGGCTGGGATCATTCCAAAGGAGCCGCCCGAAGAGGGCGATAACACCAACATGACTGATGGAACGGAAGAAGAGAAGATGGATGTCGACAAGGAGAAGGAAACGATGGAAGCGGAGGAGGAGAAGAAAGATGAGAAGGAGAAGGAGGAAGAGGAGGTATATGTCAAGTTTGAGAACCCTCTTAGCTACCTCATCAAAGCAGTGGCCATTCAGAATCCCAAGCAGTTCTCTCTCCCTCCGGAGATGATGAAGCATGAACCCCTGCCAGGTAAGTGGAGATGGCCCACTTTTTATGAGGAAAATGTATTTTAGATGGTTCCATTTATTGAAAGGGGGGGGGGGGGGAAGCTCTTTGCAGTGTTTTTAAAAAGAAGGGAAAAAAATCATGATCGCTTTGTCCATCACCGTTTGAGATATTCAATCATTACAATGACTTAGTATGTAATATGCACCCGACTTCTTTGGGACTGTACGAGAGAGAGGATAGTGAAATTGTCCCTGATATTATTTGTAGACATGAGTTGCAATCGTGTTGAGAACAGAAGTACACAGAAACTACTGCAAGGAAATTTCAATGATACTTAAAGGAATGCCCCATGAACACAATATAAATCATTTGGCAATGACTAACTTAAATTGCAGATTCTATTTGTGTTTTAAAGTCTTTCTTTGAAGCAGTAGATGTTCTGCTTTGCTCTAGTGAGCCTTGCGGGAGACTAACAATATTGTGAATTTAGCCATCTGTTATCTACTCCTGAAAAATTCTCAAAATATCAGTTGAAAGCTACATATTACAGGAACAACATTTGTCGGGTCTACAATATTAACGTAAATTCCTGATATGTAAACAGGTAAACAATAGTTCTTGTATAAAAAAAAAGCATGTATTGTCATCATCTGTTTATGTTCAGGGACAACAAAGAAAAAGAAGAAAGAAGAATTATCCAAGAATTACAAAAAGCCTCATGAATTGGATAACATGATGATCCCGCTGCCAGCTAAAGTCTGCTTCACATGTAACAAGTAAGTTCCAGTTAATGGAAGCAGCAAAGTTCTGAACAATACACTTCTTAGTAATCTTTCTAGACCTGGTATTATTCAAAAGCAGTTTAGTTTCCCCCAACAGATAGAATTGTACATGAAATTCACATTGAAGTCAAGGCAATACTTGTAGGGACCACTTGAAGAGAGCCAAAAGAAAACAAACAAATCACTTCCTGAATGCCAGGTCATGGAGGTCAATTCAGAGGTGTTAACACTCTCACAGAGTTATGCTTCATGAAGATATTCATGATAAATGCAGAATTTGTTTCAGTTTGCTTACGGGTACAGGTTAAAGCTTACACCCCTGATTCGAGGAAGGGTTTTTACATCGGGCTATAACCCATGCAGACAGCAGACAGCTGCTAATGATCGCTTTAAAATTCATGGTGTGAAAGGGGCTGTCCTATCTTTGCTCAAGAGTTCAGAGTGTACTCTGAGCAACATTAGCTAGATTTTTTTCTTTAGTGCCTTATCAGATGAATGCATTTATTTTTGAGGGGGGGGGGAGGGTGGTTGGTATAGTTTAAGACACAACTTGGTGTTCATTTGAGTCCAATTCCCATTACAGCAGTCAATTGCTGAAATGGTAAAGTGAAAATCAATTTTTTTTTTTGAAAGGCAGGAGTTGTGTTGTTGTTTTAGAGGTTTTCTTGGTGTGGGGGAGGGGGGGGGGGGGTAGGGCAATTGTGTTTAAACTTGAGGCTTCGCTTGACTGATATGAGTGTTCTAATATACAATATCAAACATTATGAATAAAACACCCCTTTTCAAAAAGTTGAATATTTTAATGTAATTTTCTCCAAAGTTGTATTAAAAACACAAGCTGTAAAGCAATAGTGTTGTCACTCTGTGATACATAATATGTATAAGTACAACATACATGTATTTATTCCATGAAAACAGACTAGCACACCAAGGAGTTACAATGGAATATTTAACCCATATAGGTGTACTCACTTGTGTTGGGTGCTGTACATGTGTGACACAGACTAAACATCTATCCCTTTTCATCCCGCTGCGACAGTTTACCACCCCATGTGGAAACTGACTTCACGCATGATACTTAATTCTCAGAGATATTTTGAAACATGGCAGAATATATGTCTGACTGTATTCTCAGAGATATAAAACATGACAGAATATGTATATTTGTGTGAGGTCCACTTACTGGACTGGTTGTTTGTGTTGATTTTAGAGAGATGGCAAGCTAAGGTTTGCTCCAAGCAGGAAGGATGTACTTGTTTGTTTAACTTGTTGCAAGATAATATCCACCTGACCGCACTATGACTGGGATAGACATGGATTAACTTACTATTTAGAAGCCTGCGTTAGACACACATTTGAACAGATTGACCCAAGGCTCTACACATTTTTGTTGTTGAAGGGATTGAACTTTTTACATTCTGTATGTATGAGCCTTCTGTAAAATTCAATATGTCCTGGGCGCATTTTAGTTTCGAGCCTTGGATTGCTATAATAACGATGGATACTAGTACAGGGCAAGTTAATTGTCTAATGGGAATATCATTTGAAACAAGCTTTAGAATCCACCTGTCTGATTTTTATTCTGAACAAAAGATTAGTCAGAACCAATGTTTTTTTTTCTCAAAATCATATTTGAAGAAAAAAAAAGGGGGGGGGGGAATGTGTTTTTGTAAGGTTTTTTTTGTTGAGGGATCCTAATTTTTAATTTTCGGCATTTTCGGCTAGAAGTAAGGCAGACAGATCTTAAAAGACATATGGATCAATGACCTTCTAATGCTCTGGGATGAACTAGTGTAATTTCCATGAATGCCCTTTAATCAACAGTTTACCTTTACCTTTTTTCATACAAGGTGATGTAGAATGCCACATTTATTCCAACAAGTATCTTCATACAACTTAAATCTGGTGTAGGATTCAAACTGCTGTGTGTGAGATACTTGATATCCTTTTTCACGTACAGTTTATTAATGCCTTGTTGTGTCATTCAACGTTTCTTTCCATGTTTCATTCAACGTTTCATTCAACGTCTAACCGGGCATGGTGGCTCAATCGTTAGAGCGCCCGCCTCATGACAGGAGGTCGTGGGTTCGAACCCCGGCCGAGTCATACCAAAGACTTATAACAATGGGACCTTCTGCCTTCTAGCTAGGCGCTCAGCATATTAGATTGGAGAAGGGTAGTAATAACATATTATGTTATGCAGGGCCCGCTGGAAGAACAGTTTCATAACTGAAGTGGCTACCCTGGGTAAATAAAAGTTATTATTATTATTATTATTACGTTTCATTCAACGTTACTTTCCACGTTTCATTCAACGTTTCTTTCGTTTCTTTCGTTTCTTTCCACGTTTCATTCAACGTTTCTTTCCACGTTTCATTTGTGCTACAGGACATGCCGAGTAGCTCCCCTTCTCCAGTGTGACTACTGCCCTCTGCTGTTCCATCGAGACTGCATGAACCCCCCTATCACCTCCCTACCCACGGGCAGATGGATGTGTCCGAACCACCCTGAATTTGCCCTGGTAAGTGATGGAGAAATATTGAACTTATGGTGAATTTTGAAGAAAAAAAAAAGAAAAAAAAAACTTGTAACGTGTAACAATGTCACATGAAAAAGCTTGTTCTGGTTTGTGCTTTCATGTTTCAAATGTGACTAGAAATAGTTTACCCCTTTGGTCCAAATTCTTTGTAAGGTTTCTTCACATGTTTGGATTATGTCTGAATTTTATATTGAAAGGAAAGCATTAGTTAAAGGAAAAGCAGAGGTTTTGCAATCCATAATTGCAGATACTTATTTATTTGAGTAAATCATTGCACAAACTTCTCTGCTTATTTCACAGTTATCTTGTACAGTCTAGATATGATTCTATTCTACTGTTGCAAAAAGATGTAAACACTTGCCGTTTTATGAAGAAAAGAAGCATTTAAACATATTTTGACCTTTGACCTTTGGCCCCTACAGCCAGCATTTCAGAATGGAGTTTGTGTGGAAATCTGTTCATATGTGTGTCTAACGCAGGCTTCTACGTAGTGAGTAAATACATTTCTATCCCAGTCAGGTAGCTATTATCTTTGACAAGTTAGACAAACAAGTATCTTATAGTTAGCTTGTACCATGTCAAAATTGTGATATCATAAATTTTCATTTATAATGAACAAAAAATACATACAAATTTTGTTCAACCTTTGACCTTACAGCCAGCATTCCAGAATGGAGGTCACACAGAGCGGGTGAAGATCTTCAATCAGTTCCAGGGCAAGGTGGACCAGCAGGCCATCAAGCTTCAGTTCATCAACAAGATACATAGGAATGGACCTCCCTGGAAGGAGAAGTGTAAATGGCGCAAAGTAATCAAGGTAGGAAAAACCCTCTGCATTATTTTTTTTGTTCTCACTGGATATTTGTATTGACAAAGAGCAGGAATATGCATCGCAATCCATTTTTTGAAGCCTTTTAAGAAAAAAAGTTAAATGGAGGTCTGGTGATAACAAAAAATTAATGCTGGTAAAAATTACTCAAAAGTCAATATCATTGAAAGCAATTCCATTACCAGAACTTAAATATAAACTTGAACCTAAAAACAATTAGATTTTTGTTCAAATTTACTTCCCCTAAGGTTAAGAATAAATGCATCTAGAACTTGTTGACCAATTTCATATGAATTTATGTGCTCGTTCCTTTTACTTCCTCTGTAAGTTCAATGTAAAGAAGAGGATTTCTCCTATCCTTTATGCCATCAATGATATTTGGCAAATTGAATCACTGATTAAGACGCTCCACCATCTTTATCACCAGGTACCTGGAGCGATCAAGAGCCAATATGCACTGCCTCCTCCACTACTCCCTCTTTGCCATGAGCGCCCCCCTCCCATGATAGGCCCTGTGGATGAGGTCAGGAAACCGGGTCCTCTCACCGCGCAGGAGGAACAAGAAGAGGTCTGTATTCACCTTCTTTTGATTAAATACTGCCATACAACCAACAGGTCCCTGTGGGGTCATTGGGTCAGGGGTCATTGGTCTGGGTCCTGTTTCATGAAACTTGTTATCAATAACAAACGCTAAATTTCTATGACAAACCTGCTCTCAGCCAATCAGATGCCACTATTTCAGTAGCTTATAACAGTTATTTTTTACTTATTTATTGATAATAAGTTTTATGAAACAGGTCCCAGACCTATGACCCCATCACCCCATCTGACTTTCCTTATCTGAGCTGTTACTTCCTAAATGTATTTAGGCTACTAAAACAATGCTACTCACTATGAACATGACGGACAATGGAAGCGGACAAAATATACAGTTCCTCAGGTAGACAAAGGAACATCCCTTCACTGCTATTATGTAAAAATGTGTAGAACAGGTGTCACATACATAATCACCTGTTCTACACATTTTTACATAATAACAGTGAAGGGATGTTCCTTTGTCTACCGGAGGAACTGTATATTTTGTCCGCTTTCATTGTCCGTCATGATCATAGTGACTTCTATAGTAAGCAAATTTACATGGGTTTAGATAGGAGTTGTCATTTCTTTGATGTGACTGCCCCCCCCCCCCCCTTCTCGGAAAGGATGGGGGATGGTTACAGCCTTGAGGTTAACAACGAATGCCATATAGTCGTACAAATCACATTCATGGTTGCATTTGGTTCAAGAGAGAGAAACCAGTGATTATGTTTATATTTGTCAAGAGACTGCACATTAAATGAAAGCATGTTCAAATGATCGTATACCATCAAAAAGCTGGAGTAAGAGTTGTTCTTTATTTAGTTTGTGTAAGGTCACTTTAACGGTGCGACTGGATAGTATGTGTTATTGTTGTGTTCTCAGTTATTCATTTTGTCCAGTGTCTCCTATGCCTATATGTTGTGAATCTCATTTATTCTTTGAAATTTGTTGTTTCTCTATTCTTTTCACTTAATGATATTTTATTATCCAATTGAAATATGATTTCCTTTCTTTTTCAATCATCAGTGGTTGAAAGGTGTAGTGGCTTTGCAGACGAGTATAGCAAGGCATTTGGCTCACAAGGCACTACCGAAAGAACCGACAATCAAACCAAAAATCATCACCGCGTCTATGCTCTCCAAGTCTTCATCGGCTCCGCCCATAGTCACGTCCACACCGTCCAATCACAGCGCAGCATCCAGCAGTGCTACGTCATCGAGCGTTACATCATCAAGCATTGCGCCATCCAGCGTTACGTCATCAAGCATTGCGTCCACCAGCCAGGAAACAAAAAGCACTACCACGGTTACGGCAACCGCCACGAACCCTAGCAGCATAAAAGATGCCGCAAGTGTCGTTGAGTCTTTGAGTAAAGAATTTAGGACTGCTAAGCGGGATGGTTACAAGTATGATTTGATTGATACGCGAGAACCAAAAATTCGAACGGTCGCCGATTTGAAGGCATTGCACAATGGGCCATTCAAACCGATCAACTCTATTGTGTCAAACGGACCGTCGAGCTTGTACAAGAGCAAGACGGACCTCGTCCTAGAAGCAGCTGAACACCTGAACAATCATGTCATGGTCAAGACGAAAAGCAACGGAACATCGCCCTCTCCTGAGGATAAGACGTTACATGACTCTCCTGCGGCGAGTAGCATTGTGAATGGCGGTATAACGAATATTGATAACTCTGAGTCAAAGGTTGTGACCTCCATACAGAGAGTGACCTCTTCTGGGGTCAAGTCACCACCATCGGTGACCTACACAACGGCAAAGACAAATGCGACGCCCTCAACGGTCATGATTAGTAGCGGGAGTGTGGTTGTGCCATCGTCTGCCAAGGTGGTGTCTACGACGCAGGCGGGGAACCTCAAGTTCACCACTATCACCATGCCAACGAAGATGGCCGTTGGTGTGGGTCAAGGGTCACCGGGAATGACGGGGAGGGTAGTGACAATACCAGCTTCCTCTGGTGAGTAAAATTAGTTTGTTCAACAACAACAAAAGTTACAGTCAATGAATTATTGTTGGACCTGTAAAGGTTATTTGAAGGGCGGAAGGCTTTTGAAATTTGTACCAACCAAACTTTCTCTTTCATGAATCTGCTCTGTATTTTCATTGGAGGCAAATCCATGGTTTACCTCAGGTAATGATGGGGGATTGTTATCACTCTGCCTCTAGTTGCAAAGAAACATTACATTTTCATATACAGTGGAAACTCGTTATAACAAGGTCCTTAGGGCTATAGAAAATACCTTGTTATATCAGAGTTTTAAAAAAAAAATATATAAAGAGCTGGGACCAGCAAAATCACCTTGTTATATCAGATACCTGGTTGCATCAGAGCTCTTTATAAGGCGTTTTAAAAAAAGATGTTGTATTGCGACCGACCCCAAAATATTGAAATCTATGGTCGGATTTCTAAAAAAGGTTTTTTTAATATTTTAACCGTTTTTTTTTAGAAAAAAAAAGTTTAGTATATAAAAAAATATCTATTATAAAGCATTCAAAACTGATAAATATCAGCCCAAAGAGGGAGAAAAAGAAAGAAAAAAAATTCTGACCGACCGACCTGTGATTTGGCACATAATGAGGTTCCACTGTACTATTCTGTCTAAATTGTAACATTGTTTTGTAACATCCTTTTCTCTTTTGGTCACACCCTCCTTTCACCCCTCACAGGTAAGCTGAGCCCTTCACCCCTGAACTCTGGCAAGATCACCCCAGCTACCCTCGGCTCCTCACCAGCTATCATCAACCTCAACAGCTCTCTACAGTCATGTATTGATGGCACTGGAGGTATGCATTATACTTTACTTTACTTTACTTTACTTTACTTCTCAGTAATTTGTAAAGTCTTTATAATTATCCATTAATGATGATAATGGCTGCTACAATGTTGATGCTTCTGCTTATTTTTGAAGATAATGATTATGGTTGTGATTATGATGTCATCTAGTTGTTTATGGTAAATAAGTTAAGAGTAGTTCATGGTAGTGAGGAAGATACATTTTATTGATGCAAGTTCAGTCACGACAAATTAATTCTTTCATTCTTTCTTTGTTTGTTATTGCCTTTACAGAAGTAGAATTGAGTAAGTTGGATGAGAGGCTGGTCCAGATTCTTGCCTGGCAGAGATTGCAGCAACTATTACCTCAAAAGGTAACCCAACTTTCTTGAAATCGTATTTGTATTTGTATTTCTGTTAAAGCGGGACTGCACTACTTGTATCTACTTGCGCCCTCTGTATAGCCAACAATAGCGAGTTTTCGCACAACGACGCAAGTGCTGACTACGGGGTATTTAAATGAGCTCGCCACCCCGTACTAGCTCGACTCCCGATGCTAATATGGCTGAATACCATCGTAGCTTTGGACGCTACGCAGACATTTTTGCTCTGAGTGCGACCCCCCGCTAAGATTAGCATTGTAGAAGGTCGCATCGCCAGTTGTGTAAACTCGCTACTCCGTAAGCGGTACCCCTTGGTCCCCAATGATCCCCTTTTTCTTATGTTATTTGAGAGCTGGTTTGATGAGATAACCACCTGCCAGTGACCATGCAGGGAGGTCTAATCGCTCCTGACCAAACTTGTGTCGATGATGCTTTGAAGCTGTTTTCAACAGGCCTTTTATTAACAGCAAAATTTGAAACCATATCAATATTGTTTTTCTTTCAGCAGAAGTCTTTTTTTTAGAGATGTTGAAATATATGAGGCATTAATTCTATGTCAAAGCCAAGTGACTGTAATGACTGTAATGGAGATTACACATTTTTTGCATATCTCCTTGTTGATTCTTGAGCCAATTCAGATTTTATGTGGATGGTTTTATATTATCTTATTTTCTTGTACCCCTCTCAGAATCAGACCTTGCAGACTACAATAGTCAACAAAAAAACCACTACCAACACCAACACAGTATCATCATCATTATCATCATCCTCGTCGATGTCATCCTCCTACTCCTCATCTCCCAGCACCAACGCCACCGTCATCAACCAGGGTACCTCATCACTGCATTCGTTTAACACAGGCGGTACCACCACAGTCGGTAGTGTACCGCTTCACACCTCCACATTGCCATCACCAGGTACCGACCATGGTGTCCCCTCCACCGGGCTATCACATACGGTGCGGGCCAGGGCCATGGTGTGTCCTGTGAATGGAAGAGGTCCCGGTACGCCAGTACCGATGTGCTTCAGGGCGTTGCATATAGGATCAGGTCAGTTTGGTTTGCCTTTTTTACAAGGGGAGGGTTGTAGAGATAAAATTTGTTGCTTGATGATACAACCAATATGTACTGTTGTATTGTAGATATTTTTTTTAAAACTTACTTTCAATGGCAAGTTAGATGTTTTGATTACTGTGTTATGTTTTGTGTAATACTGAAGTCATAGATATGTTATGACAATAACTAGAAAACCTTTGGGATGGTTTGAAATATAATGTCTGCCACTCTTCATGGAGTGGAGACTTTCTGTGCCAGTTCTTAATCATAAATTTAGATTAGTGATTGAATTTACTTGTCATTGTCAGTAGTTGACAAAAAATTGTAATCATATTGTGATTCATACCACATTTCATTTGTTTCTATCAACATGTATGAAGAGTCAATGGCTAGGAAAATGTGTGAAATAAGTTAATTTTAATCCCAGGTAATTACATTAAGAATATTTAGATCATAAATGCAGATATACTGGATGTTTTTTTAATATTTTTGTCTCTGTATGCTTTTTTTTCTCTCTTCACAGGAAAGGACATGGATGTTTGTTCAGGGAGCTATGGGCATTGTAATTTTGTATCTCCCAAGCACGCATGTATATTCTATGATCAGGTAAGACTTGGATGAAAGCCTAGATCAGTTAGGTACCTAGGGACGTAATCAATTCAGTACGCGGATTAAGTTAATATTTCACTTAGAATTTTACTTAAGCAAGTTGAGTTACCGGTAAAGGCAAAATACTTGGTGAGCAGTGTCACCTTGTCTATCCAAAAATCATGCGCAATTAACGCAAGCTCTAGTAATTGTGCGCCGCTTAAGATAACTGCTTATGATAACCATATGCCTCCCAATGAAGCCTCCAAAGTTATTGGCTTAAGTCTGCTCGGGAGCTGTTTGAAACTGAGGTTAAAATACTTGACCAAAAGCTTCAATTGAATACCATAGTTCGTTAAGTATTTTATCTGAGCTGAAAACTTAGTAAAATACTCATATTTCTAACATACGTATGGAATTCAATACCGACCCTGTATAATAGACTCAAATTGCTTTTTGTGTCTGGGAATATTTTTTATTAGATTATTATTTTCAGTTAGGGTTAGAATTGAAAAGTATGGAAGACTCATTTGATTTTTCAAAGGAAGAAGAAAAAAAAATCAGAATGGAATAAACCAAAAGCATGTTTTGATTCGATATATTGTAATATGTTTTTGAGTTTAGATTTCCATCGGCAAATTCAATATAAGAAAATACAAAGATAGAGGGGGAAAAGGTTTGTGAAATGGAACTAGAAAATTAGTAACAAAAAATGTGAGCATTCCATCATGTATGCATAAAAAGGCACTGGTTATGTATGAATAACATGAAACTTTTTTTTTTTTTTTTGAAGTACTGTATGTATATTCTTGTATGTTTTTAATGAATAATGTAAATTATAGCTCATTAGATTTTCATCACTTCAGTCCCTATATTTCAACTGTGATTGTATTTGATCTTTGTTGTATTGATGCAAAAATCTATTGGGATCGAAGACGATGGATGTGCATAGAACCACATGAATAAAGAAATGCAGCTTCCGGCTCTTAACAAATAATCTTTAAACTTTTGTCCATTTTATACTTTTTCAGACTACGAGGTTGTATGAGTTAATCAACTACAGTGAGTATGGCACCAATGTAGATAATGTCATCTTCTCCTGTGACTCATCAGATAAATGGTCATCCAACCATCCAAGAGCGTCCCCTATGGTCAGGAATGTAAGTTAATTACGTTTCTTAATTGTTAAATGCTTGCCATCTAAACACAGCATGTAAAATGTGCATGTTTTGTGTTTTGAAATTAAGAGGTGTTCAGATGGTGTACAGACTCTTATGTATATGTTTTAAACACGCTTTTCCAAGTTGAACGCAATGTATTGGGTAGTGCATTTGAGAGATGAGAAAAATGAGGTGTTTGAATGTTGTAGAATCATTGGTTTGTTTCACAGTCATTCTGAGTAAACCTATTACCTCAATGTTTGCACAACCAGTTTTTATTTGTATGGTGTAAGCTACATGAAAACAAGACATTGTGTTGCTTTGAATACATTTTTTTTCCTGAGCAAATAAAGCTGTTGATATAATCAACAAACATTTGATAACGTCACCTACTTTTGTCTAAAGGCCAAATAAATTCACAAGATTAAAGATAAATTATTTTCCCCTTTTTTCAAGAATTAGATTTTGCATAATGAGGAACACATCTTTTGATATATCTACATCAAATATCACTGTATTTGTAATTATTTCTCCAATTAGAGATTTCGAGAATTAAGATGCGCAACATATCTCTCCTGTTTTGTTTTGGAACTTAATCTAAGTTTGTTTCACATCAAGATAAATGATCTCATCTCCCTCATATTTCAGGTTCGCAAGATCATCGACAAGAGGAAAGTGCGGTTCAGCGAGAGACTCATGAAAGATGGCAAGAGTCGTCATGAGATCAAACAAGAGAAAGAACCGGAGATACCCACACGCATGAGTGCCACGACCAACAACCATTTCCATCCGTGCGGTTGCCGTGGCGGCAGCAGCTCGGCGCTGCTCGGCGACAGCAAGGCAGGCTGGGAAGGCACCGCACTGTTGCATCATGGGAGCTTCATCAGAATCGGCTGCCTCGGCTTTGTATTCAGTATTACGGAAAACATTACGAAAATGACGCAAGCGCCAAAATCGTCTTCGGCGAGTTTTCATCCGGATAACAAGAGGTCGGTCGTCGTTAATTCATCATCAGCGTCAATACCTGCTCGGAAAACAGTTACACAGACAATTGTGAGGTCACAATCGGCAACGTCATTACCGTAGTGACGCAATTCTAGAACTTCTCCGCTTCGGTGACCAAGTATGTGAGGCATTTTCAAACTTCCAAGATCGCCATGGGCTTTTCAACTGAAGATGTAATTTTTGAAGCATCAGGCAACCCTCGTGGATAAAATAAAGTTTATTTCCAAAGGAATTATCATCGGAGAGCTGCTATAAAACCAGAAGCTCTTGCATGTTTCAAATCCAACGAGACTTTCACGAGAGGCCAAAGTTCGCTGAAGTTTCATGCAGCAAAATCCATGAATGGCAACACTAACTTTTATTTTGCAATTCTTGTTGCCAATTGCCACTAAAATAACATTCATGAAAGCTTAAGGTCGCAGAAGTTTCTGGTCTTACAGTAAATATATTCTTGTTTGAACATTATTTTAGTTTTTTTTCTACAAAATGTAAACTTCCTGTCAGATACAAATATGATACTCTGGCTCAATCTCATTTATGAGAGGTCAATGATGTCTTGTGCAACCTCTTTGGGGGTGATAAGTATTCAACGGTCTGCTGGTTCAGACTTACTTGCTACATCGTGGTGTGTTCACATTACATCATGGCATGTTCACACATTCTCACTCATATCCTGATGACATTGCTACTTCCTGGAGTTTGAAGGATGAGTTATATCAGTATGAGCTCTGAAAGTATAGAGTATGCATTCTAGATTCCCCTGTGTATTCCTCCTTCATTTTAATGTTCTCTCAACAAGTTTTCTGCACAGCCCGTACCCCTCTCCGACCTCGCCCTTCCCCTTCCTCTCTCCCTCCTACAATCAAAGTTTCCTGAAAGATTGTTGTTTTGGACAGCCAGGTTCCCTTCCTCACCATATTCCCCTTCCTACACTGGAAGTTTCTTGTCTCAAAAATTGTTGATTTGGACAGCCCTGTATCACATCCCTCCTCCGCCTATTCCCCTCCCATATTTTACGTTTCTTGTCTCAAAGTTTCTTCAAAATAGCCTTGTAACCCTCCCAAACCCTAACTATCCCATCCTACATTTTAAGTCTCTTGTTTCTTATCCAGAAGACTCTTCTGGATAAGCCTGCAACCCCTTGTCTCCATGATTATCGACAATCGCCTATCCTTCCCGACCCAGCCCAGCCCCCCTCCCCCTCCCCCCTTCCCCCTCCCCTCCCCCTTTCCCCTCCCCTCCCCTCCCCCTCCCCTTCCCCCTCCCCTTCCCCCTCCCTCCTAGATTCCCAATCTTTCTTGGAACCATTCCAGACAGGGCAGTCTGCTTCCTGCATCCGTGCCCCTGAAGGCCTGAAGGTGACAGTAGAAGGGTATGTTGAGGCTAGAGGAACATGGCATGGGCGTGATAAGGGTAATGCACGGCATGTCTGTCTGCGTTGTGTGCACAAACCGTGGCCCAGTCTTAGGAGCAACCCCTTGATGATATGGCCACGGTGTTAAAGGGGACAATCACCAACAGTATTTTGCCGTATATATATGCGTTTGGGCATTTTATAACCATGTGCCATATTCAAAACATTACTGAAAACACTTTCTTTCTGTAGTTCAAGTTCAAACACCATCTGAATATAGGTAGAATCTACCTGTAAGTAGAAAATTATTTCCATGCAGTGGTTGTGAAATGCAGCTTGAGTTCTGGTCATGTGACTACATTGTGACAGAATTGTCTCAATGTTTTGGGGAAAAGTTGATTGTGTAGGACATAGGAACAATTGTTTGTTTGTTTGGTATTGGAATCATCAAAATGTGAACAAATTGTGTGAATGTAAACCCCAGTAGATGAATTACCTCAGAGGCTTAATCCACAATGTGTGCTTATAAAGTGTTTTCCTGCAGAATGCTGTCGGTCTTGTTTTGATGAAAGCAAAAAATATTTGTTTATTTGCTAATCTTTGACAAATTCAAATTAATTGAAACTTTCAGTGTCCTGTTGTTTTGAACCCTGGATAAGAGGTTAATGATAGATCTGCATCACTCTTTAACATTTTAGTGGCTATAGTTAAACCTGTCTTAGTGGCCACCTTGATAAAGGCCACCTGTCTATAGTGGTTGCCCATATTATTCCCCTCTAGGGAGAAATGTGTGTTATAGGACCTGCCTAGAAAGGCCACTTGTCAACAGTTTTTGTTCCATTTCACTTGGGTGTCCTTAATAAACAGGTTTGACTGTATTATTTTGTGATTGAAATTATGACAAAATTATGCAAACATTATGAATAACACCCTATAACTTTTAAAATGAATTAGGTAACCATGAAGATTTCAATAGAAAACTCTTAATTTTTTAACAGGGTCATACATTTGCTGGGGTACTTTTTTTCCCAGCCAAAGCTTTCTAATAATGTTTTCTGATAAGACTACATGTAGATTATGACCATGAGTGGTATCTATGTAATAATAATAATAATAATAATATGTCTTGTTTACCCAGGGTAGCCTCATCAGTCTAAAAACTGTTCTCCCTAAGGGCCTCGCAATTATATTATTACCCCGGCTGTATAGATACTTTATCAAGGGACATGCATTTAGTTATGCAATCAATTCAAACTTCTGTTAGATGCCGTTGTTGCATTTACCCAACATTACGACACTTAGAGAAATTATAGGAAGCTGATTGTTTTCACACTTTAAATGTTATTGTTTGAGTTTAATTAGTTTTTTGCAAGAGGCCTCTGTAAATGTACCCTGCAGTTAAAAATGAAGATATGTAGAAGATATGTATCTCCATAATCTCTGTCCTCGGTTATTAATATATTTTTTTGGTAATAGTATTCAGGGAAATAAGCTGTCAACAACTATGCACAATATCAAAGTAGCGAAACCTGTGATAAAACGATCGTGTCATACATACAATATTACCGTAACCATTGATGATCGCAGATCGATATTCACTGTTTAAAAGATGCTTTTGTTTTAGTGTGTGAACAGGTACTGTATTATTGATTAGAGATGTAATGTCATCTTCAGGGTGTGTTCACTTTGTCAAAAAATCAACATGTCGGTGCAAAGGGATATATTTTTGTTATTGTTTCAGTTTCTTTCTGTTTCAACTTCGGTCCATATTTCACTTGTTTTCTTTGATAGTCTATTCCACAAATTGGTTTGTATTCTACTGATTCAGTTAACTGGGTCTCGGATCACATTTAACAAAGGAAAACTTGGACCTTCTTTTTGTTAAACCTGATTTTAACAAAAGCTTTAACCCAGCATCAGGGTTAAATTTAAGTAGAATACGGACCAAAAGTTAACAATTTTTCTCATTGCATTGAAATTGCATCCACATCGATCATTTTAGGATGCACAATCAGGAATTTCAACAATTAAAGGGAGACAAAGATCAATATCCCAGGATTCTATGTGATATATATGGGATTTAAATTAAACTTTGCATCAGGAAGTAGAGAAAGAAGTTGAAAGAATTGCAAGAAAATCATCCTAAATCCTTGATTTCAGAAAAAATGGTGGAGGAAAATCCTTCTTATCTCTACTTCTCGGGCTATGGATCATGGTGTTGCCAATTTGATTTTGTATTTTGAATCTTAAATGATCTTGGACACTGATTTTGTTTTTAACATGATCGCAAAGACTTTCAAGAAATCTACTCACGGGCAATGTTTGCACTCCATCAAATCGCCCATAGAAATTTCATGTTCCCATTGTGTATCATGTCCCCATTGTGTATCATGTCATTGCAATATCCACACATTTTAATAGGGGATACACAAGGCTTTAAATATCCTATACTTTTATTTCTTGAATTCTTTGCAGTCATATTTTTCTTATTCCAATTCCTTTTAAATGAACGACCACTGGCCAGTAACTTACCTTAAGCTCAACAATTTTGACAATTTTATCTCGGGAATAATTTCATGAGATGTTTGCCAACAGTGTCATGAGTGTGAGATAGGAAAAGCATGAGGGATGCTTTTTGCTTCTTTAGTCATAGATTTAAGATTTCTTTAGAAATTGCCTTCTCTTCAGTATATAATTATGATATATGATTTCGAAATGTGTAACAAGAAGAGATCAAAAATGGTTTGCTTTATAGTAAAGCTGCGATAAAAATGAGAGATCAGAAACAGAAGGGCAGCTGTGTTGGAAGGTTCTGATGTAATGGCTTTCTTTTACTAAGTCAGAATGTCAGATACAGGAGAGTTGTTGAATTTTTTTTTCTATATCATATCATATGCCAATGATAATTGTAAATGTGTATAGAATTATAGATAGTGCTGTGAAGAAATTTTTTTCACTTTCAAAATTTACTATGAATCTTGTTCAGTATGAGAGCTTCTTTTGTCGAATTATTGTACAGATAATGTTACAAAATGAACTTGTACATTCTTTAAAGAAATTGAAGAAAAAAAGCTGATTGTAAATGGTTTGAAGAAAAAAATACAATGAACAACATGCATTATTATCCAAAGATTTACATCGTTGCTAAGTGAGTTTCTTTGTTTTAATGAGTTTAGTAGCAGTGTGGAGGAAGGAATGATATTGTGTGAAATTTGAACGGATATTTATTGATTCAATTGATTCAAATGATTTTATTTCTCATGTAAAATATAATACAAGAATGATTATATCACCAAAAAAAATAAGCAATGAAACGACAAATATAATGGAACAAACAAAACAAGAAACAGAAATGAGAGAGAGCAAGAGAGGTGGCGGTGCGGGGGTGAATTAACACTTTGGTTGCTTTCGTTGCTTCTCTGCACGGTCGCCGCTCGTTTGCCACACTTGCAATCTTGCACACTCAAAATAAGTATCAATCGACAGAAAGATTGCTCTGTGCAACACAATGACTTTGACAAAATTACCAATTTCCGGTCTTCGTTAGGTCTATGACAACAATTTTAACACCTGCACAGATTAAGCTTACATTGGGCAGTTAAGTAGTCCGGAAGCCGTTGGTATATGTATCGCATGATAAAGACACTGGCACAGGGATATTGCTTGTGCGGCATATAAGAGTTGAATCATGGGATGATTTTTTTTTTCCTTCTTCATTATGAATGTGGATGAATAGTAGTGGGAATAATGACAAATGTACAAGTAATCAATTACTCAGAAAGGGAGAATATCGGAAAAAATAAATAGCATGCCAACTGAGAGAGAAATTTCCTGGGCCCAACCCCCCCCCCCCCCCCCCCCCCCCACGAAAAATTAATATCAATGCTGCTGATATAAGGCAGACACGTGCTCAACTGATAAAGATTCTTATCTGTTAACGATGCACGTTTTGAATTGGTCAACTGAAACGGCACGGGTGTAGTTTGAAGTTGTCCCCATCAGACAACAACTTACGCCGAATTACATCACCAATTACATTTAGTACAGAAATATATGAGAAGGAAGTGTAGCAATCGTGCAGTTTGCACGCTTCTTCCGGGAAATTCCCCACTGGTCATTATTTTTCAATTGGGGGAAAACCCCTTTCACCATTCAGGAAACTTCTGCGCATGTGCGATTTGTGATTGTGCGCTTTCACAATCTGGTCAATCGCTAGACGGAACATTAAATCCCCGGATTAAATCATAATGAACAAAGAAACAAAAACAAGTTAACACTTATTCTGTGTTTGAGGGTCGGGACTTATGATATCTTATGAATATTACATATATTTCCAAGGGTGTAAAAGATGAGGGTTTGGAAGTCCCATTCTTGGCTGTACTTTTGCTTAATCATTTTCTCTCCATATTTCTCCCCTCTATCTTTATCCGCCCCACCCCTATCTCTCTCTCTCTCTCTCTCTCTCTCTCTAACTCACTCACTCTCTCTCTTTCTCTCTCTCTCTCTCCCTAACTCCCCCCTCTCTCTCTCTCTCTCTCTCCGTCTCGCTCTCTGTCTCTCTAGCTGTCTCTCCAACTCTAAACTCTCTTCATCATTATCCACTTGTTAATTTACATGGTTCGTTGCTGATTTGCTTTAAACAAAACATAAATATCGTCAATAAAGCAATTTTGTGTGTGTGCTATCTAACTTTTAATACAAACGGTAACAAAACATGAACTAGTATATACATGTACACTGATGTCGAAACTGTCAAATATTGATAAGTTGTTAGTCGATACACGATCACTTATTCGTCTTGCCTTTTTATACATAGAAGTTTAAAAGACCTTCCATCCACTATAAACAGAGAAAAGTACAAATCAGGTCATAATATTGATAGTTTGATGTAAACAAATAAGGAATAATATGAAAGCATTCATAATGATTGTTCTTCAAAAAGAGGATACATTTTCCACAACGAAGGAATATGCATTGCGAGTAAAACCACTTCCTTTGGAAAATATAACATCAAAATGACACATGATATCGTCATTAAATAAAACCTTGGGGTGGCGGAACCCACATCCGATTTCTACACCTGTTCTATTATTCCTACAAACTGGCATGTTCATTTAGATGAAATATGCTCTGTTGTGGGGGGAAAAAAGCATTTTCTTCAAAGGGGAAGAAAAACAGAATATTTTTAACGAGATAATGTACACGTTTCATACATTAAAATATCTTTAAACACTCAACTAAACATTGAAAATGAAGTGCAGTTTTTGAGTAACTTGAAGGAAATATTTGTTATTATCATTTGAAAGCTAAATGCATGTATCATGATCGATTATGACATTACTGATATAAATATATCATCTCTCCTCGGGAGACTAAAAACCAAGATAATTTTGTTATGTAATTGATAACCATATTATGATCATGATTGCCATGAATACATAAGATTGCTAAAGATATGAAACATGAACTATATACCAATCTTAACTACTCTCTGCAGTATGTACAATTGTCAATGATTACATGTACGTTGAATAAACGCATACCATAGAAATTAGAACACACCAACCCTCGAAGACCAGTTATTTTATTTCTGAAGAATTTTCTTCCCATAACCCCATGAACATCGGGAGAGATTCCACCTTGAAAGCATTTGTTGGCATTTTGGCCAAGTTTTGGGCAAGCTCGTCAGAGACGGTGTTCTATAACCTGTCTAAACATAGAAATTAAAGTGCAAATACCCAACGTTCTGTGCCAAGCAGATCATAGAAGGAAGCCATTTAAAAAGTTATGCTTAAATTCTTGTTAACATGGTCATGCGGTTCATAGAACACAGTACCTGGGGGGGGGGGGGTCATAAAGCTGTGAGTAAAGTTACGAATGACTTTACAAATGATTTGAATATGAAGACCCGAATGGGATGCCCAAAGCTTTCCTGACGTTTTAACAAAGTGTGACTGTATTTCCCATAATCTCAATTAAATTGTAGCCCAAAGTACACTTTGCGTTAAAATATTGTGTTAATAATGATAAGGTTAATCTACATCTGCATATTTCAACTTAAGCTTATACAATTAAAAGGATCTGAGAATACCATTTAGCTCTTCATATTCAAGTCATTCGTAAAGTCATACGTAACTTTACGCACAGCTTTACGAAACACACCCAGGGTCGTCGAAATTTCACCAGATTAATAAACTTCTCTATTGTATCCATCATCGAGGGTAGGAAATGAAAGTTATCATCACAAGTATGACATACATCAAAAGATGACAGGTATATTGATCAATATGAAATGAAATAGATTACCTAATCTTGATTAGGTAATTGGAGGACGATGCCATGCGTCATAAAATACGTCACTGGCTGCCCTAGTTGACCGGCCGCGCCGAGGTTTGGAGTGATGTTATGGGCTAAAAATAGGCCATCGAAAATCATTGCACTCTCAAAATACATCATTGTAGGGCTATCGAGCAACTTTAACCAAATGACATGTCGATGTGAACAATATTTCACAAAAGAAACTACCATACGTACAACCGGATCGTTTGATAAATTTAAATTTAAACAGAAATACTATCGGGGCATTCGATACCAAACGCTGACTCATGTAGGAGTACCGATTTAATTGTATTTTCACGAATTGCAAGGTTTTAGATTTATTCGATCTGCATAATATCTTAATATCTGTACTAAGTTGGTGAAACGTATGTAAAACATTTAAGACATTGATACATATTACTTGATAAACACCACATGAATTTAAAGGACCACTTTTATCGTCATTCAACATTTGCATGCATTGTGATTTATATAGCTCAGAATTGTTTGCAGGTCACAAATTTTTGATCACTATTGTCTTGTATTCCCAATTCTAATCACAACTGTGGTTATTTTTTTTGCCGAAATTAAATTAAATTAAATTTATCGTTTCCTGCAACAAATTGTGCTCATTGCTCCATTTCATTAGATAGTCTTGTAATCACGTTTCATTCCGAGCAAGTTTTTAAAATATGGGAGTACTGCATGCCCATCTATTTGTATTGGATTACTTATCACATCATAACTACATTCCCAAACTTCGTTGAGGAATATAACATCTTCGTCTTGATTGGATAATTTCATCACCTTTCGTCACCTTTCGGCACCTTTCGTCACCCAATCTCTAACAGTTTCCTTTATATTGATGTCGTTTTGATCCATGCAACATTTTTATAGAAAACGCTTTTAAAAACAGCCAAGCTTGCCTCTTGTCTGACTGATTTATGCTGTCAATAATCTTGCCCTAAATAACTGGCACGTTTACGGTTCTGCTGTCCATGCAGTAATCATAACAATAATAATAGGCATTTCTATAGCGCCATATATCTAGAAGTTCTATTCCGAGGCGCATTTATTATTACCCCGGCTTTAGCCTAGCTGCCATTACAGCGCTCCAGCATTTCAAGGAATTGATTCCTGCCAGGTACCCATTTAAATCACCTGGGTTGAGTGTGGCAAATGTAGATCAATGTCTTGCCGAATGACATTAGTACCGCGGCGGTACTCGAACCGCGGACCTTGTGATGCACAGTCCGGCGACGTATCCACTCGACCACGACACCTCTGTCATGGCGGTGTTCAAGAGTTCGTCACTGGGGAGACGTAAACGCAAAAAATGATATGAGAAAAATAATTCAGGGCTGTGAATTTTCCTCTTGCATTTCATTTCTTTCAGAATCCTCCTGCTCCAGCTCTTTCCTTTCCCGCTCGATCACAGACCTGCTGCTGTAGATGTCGACTTTCGTTTTGGTCACAAGCGCCAAGTTACCGTCAGGCGTACAGTCGATTCTCGGATGCCACGAGCCAACGTCGACTTCAACATGTCGGACTACGCATTCGACGATGTAACCCTCCAGTGTGTATTTGTGCACTGAGATGAGTTTCTTTTCATCCCGACTCCCAGAGAGGATGTAAATGTTCTCTTTGGTGTCGCAACAGACGAGAGCGTACTGCCATTGCTTGCGATGGACAGTGCACTCTACATCTCCATCGCGATTCAAGACGGACACGGAAGCAGGGCTATGGGACAGAACAATCTGGCCCGAGTTTGCGACAACGATGCGGTACGGCGTGATCCCACCGGCGGGTATTGATTCGACTTGGCGCCCATCTTTCGCGAAGACGGATATCGTATCGCGATGGAATTCTCCCGCGAAAATCATATCGTCTGCGTCCGCGGTAAGACATGTGAAACCCGTGCTGCCATTCTTCGAATGGATCATGCGGGACTTTTTCCCGGTTGGGTCGTAGACCGCGATTTGCCATGTCCCGTCGAGAATGACGATCGTGCGGTCGGAGAGAACGGCCATGTCACGGATGTCGGAACCTGTGTTGAGGACGTGGGTGATCTTCCCGTCGACGGTCATCTCCTCGACGACGCCGTTGAAGTGGGCGAGGAAGAGTGATCCGCTGGAGCAGTACGACATCGATGAGACCTCGCCCGACTTAGACTCGGGAATAGGGATACTTCTAGAGAGTGACCACTGATTTGGATCGACAAGGGTCCCGACCGACACCCACTGTGCGTTCTCCTGTGACTCAAACCTCACGTTCTTGGTGATACTATGGATGTAGTCAACCGACGCTTTGTCCCACTGCTCCGATACTAAATTGTGCAAGGTCGTGTTAAGTTTGTCGAAGGTCAGAAGTACTTTGACACTTGGGTTCTTCATCAATTTGACACCGAAGCTTCTCGCGTTAGAAAGGAGTGATCCTACACCAAGTCGCGCTGCTTCAAGTTCGTCATACTTTCCGGTTAGGAACTCGTCCAGCCTGTCTGTTTCTTTGAGAAGGGTTAACCGCTGAAAATCAATGCTTTTGAGAGCGTTCTCAACCGCGGCGTCAGCTGCATCGTTTATCTCTTGTTGCAGGCAGCGGACGACGTGCCGCGCCTCGTTGCGTTGACGATCTATCGTTCGTAGCGCGTCTGCAACTTCCTTCTGCTTATCGTGGCCTTGTTCGACGAGCTCTTGAATGCTACGTAATCGCGTTTTTACCGCGTCTTTTGCCTCAACGCACACGTGATGCGGTTCGGGATGGGTATCTCCTGTGCAGCGGATACACACAAGCATTGAGCATGTCTCACAGAAGTGCGTCTTGACCTGTCCGTTATGCTGGTAGCATGTCTTCCCGTGGTTGGCGTCCTTGTACCCGTTCTTGGTCTTTACCAGACTCCTTCGAAGGTCATTGAGAGGCTTAATGCGGTGTCCACTCAGAATCTGTTTCAGGGAGGAGTGCGACCCCACACAATCACGACAGATAAAATGGCGGCAGTCTTGACAGTAGGCAACTGCTCGAGAACGCTTCGTACGGCACGACTCACAACACAATTCAGAATCCATCAACTTGGCACAGTGGTCATTGCCCTCCAAGGCCTGGACAACCTTGTTTGCCAGGTTATTTGGCTTCAGCCCGTTGATTCCATTATCAGGTAAAATGGTTTCCTCGCGACAGAGAGGACAGGGGATGGAACGGAGGCGGCAAGTGCCTTCTATGTTACCTCGAACTGTCACGCATCGCTCGAGGCACTCGGCGCAAAAACTATGAAGGCATTGGAGGAACTTGGCATTTAGCAGACGGCCTGTGCAGATAACACACTCCAACTCTTCGTCGAATGTCTGAAAACTCTTTGTAATCGACCGATTCATGTTGAATGTTGCGAAATTGTCTTACACAGTTCAAATGTCACTTTAAAAATTGAAGAAGTAATTCACTGATCATTACCATATAATCACTCTTCAAAGACGATTTGTTTCCAAACTCAAAGACGACGAAGAAACAAGTCGTCGACAAAATGAAAAAAAAGCAAAGCTCAAACGGTTTTTGTATCCAATAGGCCAAGTGATGTCGCAAACTTCAGGAACTACTCAACACGTGTCACAGTAAACTCTTACAAATAGAGAACAGGTTTGGTTAAACTGCTTTAACTTGTCTTGAACAAAGTCTCATGAGTGTAGAATTCGGAAGAATTCCTCAGACATCGCCTCACACGACGGCCTCTTTTTCAGTTATGAATAGCATCTCAAAATGTCAAACAGAAATACAGACAGCATTCTGTCGCGGCCGGGTACAAAGTCGGGTATCTAGCTAGTTGCGGCTGCTCACCGTGAAAGTTCTCCACAGTTATGCTATTTTTAAACCCGTCTTCTTTGCATCACAATCATCAGCTGAATTATTCGATCCAGGGCAGCTCTTCGAAAGAGGGTTCTTTCCTTGGTCCGTCTGTGCCTGGGTGTGTGCTCGACGCTCACCTTTCGTTACCTGCTGATACTGTTCGGACGTCACAATGATTTTTATCTGACCCGTTTCACCAGCCCCCTCTCTCACTGAGCTTATTGTGACGTCAGCCCTCCTCCCACATTCGAACATGTGCTCGCTTATATAGTGGGTCACTGATCTCTTCATCCAAAACACAAAACATGTAATTCCTAAGCTAGACTTCTAATTACTCCAGCTTATTTTCTACTTAACTCAACGTAAGATAATCGTCGGCGTCCCAACTCAATAATTGTCCTCAGGCCAGACTCAAGTTCAAAATGGCTGCCAAACAGTCTTTGTCAATTGCTACGAAATTCGCGTGTCCAGCGAATGTCTAAGATATTTTTAAAAGAAAACCACTAAAGAAGAAAAAGTCACAGTTTAAAACTTGAAACTTTGTCTTAAGCATACTAGTAGTTTCGACATCATTTTGATTATATAGATCCAGGCTTGTTTTGCTCTGTTTCCTTATAGACGAACGATTAAGATAATTAATTAACAGTAGACCAGTCACAAATACAGGTTGCAATAGGAGATAGGCAGATGACCCATGTGATGAAAGTTGAATTAATATCCATGAAATGCGACGTGACCCCCACTGACTTTACGGTGACTTCGTACCTGATGCTGCCGATAACACTAAGGCGGTGATGAAGGGTTTATAATCAAGTCCATCAAACTTCAATCAAATCCTGACACAAAGTTACGATCAACGATGATAACGGCACGATCAGCGCAAAGAACAGTACGATGAATACCGATAACACGTCAGTCATCAAAAAGATAAACCATCTCCATCGCTTCGAGTATCTGTATTGTTTTCAATCCGCCCGATGCACTTTCGATTCTCCCAAAACTTTGTATAAGATTTGAAAGCATCTAAGAAGTAAGTGGGTAAAGGGGAAATGTGCGGGATAAATCTCTGAATCACCGAATAAAAACTCTTTGGTCGTCTGCCGTGAGTCATCGGACTGTTTACGTAAATCCTCTGTGTGCTACTGAGGAGGCAGAACGGAAGTGAGGAAATTAATAATAAAGAGACCTCGAGCTTACGGGCAGTTGACCCGAGACTACCATCGGATCTACCTGCATACTTTGCTATGTGATGAATGTATGAATCCTCCCATAATCCTCAAATTATTACGTGTACTAACTTAGAATTAGAAGACTGAAACTTCGTTGATGAAAATAGAAAAAATTGAAAACAAAACGTGAAGTGAAAGAGATTTTAAGGAAGAAGGGCAGTGCATGTAATGTGAAGTAGAAATGAATGCAAAAGACAAATCCTTAGTTTATAATAATTTAAAAGATGGTTAAACAGTGATGCGATTTTTAGAATAATGATAATAAAAGATCTAGCAACGGTTAAAATCACACATTTTAACCTTTAAAGGTTAGTATCGTGAATCACACAAAATCTAATAACTGCATCTGTTTCATAAGGGAAATTGTGAACAATTTAAACTCTAAAATGATGACTTGGCTTGTAACACTATATAACGTCTAATGGCATGGGAATCTTGTCATATTCGAAGTTCTAGAAGTATCTCATTGTCAGTGAGATTCGTAGGTTGGTGCTGGGGAAGCAGGGGCTGATAGAGACATTAATTATGGTTAGAGAGAATTTCTGTGTTTGCGTATGTGTTAAAGGCCTACTCCACTCCAAAAATAAAAAAGTTTTAGCCAAATCTAGAGAGAGGAGAGAGAGGGAGGGGAGGGGGGGGGGCAGGGATAGAGACGCGGATGATCAATAACTAAGAGGAAAAGGAACTGTAATGAAAGGGCGAGCCATTGATTTTGTAATATTAAGAAAATGGGGCACTACTTTATTCTGAACAGAAGTTTTCTTTCTTTTCCAGGTAGCATTGAGGTCAAATGATTTTAAGAGGGATATAGGAACACAGTCACATTGAGTGACCCCACCGGGGGGCCACGTCTCTTTTATTCCGGGTTGGGTTTTAAAGGGGCACGGACCGAAAGTGCCAACCCCGCCCCTACCCCCGCCCCCGGTCCCCCTATCGAGTCACAATTTTGCTCAATTCGAATTCCATTAGCTCTTCATGATTCACAATGAAACATTTTCATATCCAGAAAACCTCAGAAAACTTCAAATTTCATAACCAGCCCATAGTTGATATTTCATCAACTCCGTCAAGCACGGCGCCACCTACACTCCGCACATCGTAAACGGTCCGCGTAAACTGTACGAAAAAGCATGACAAATTCCGATCCGTGGCGTGCAATGCACTCTTTTTTTACAACTCTCCTCGCGCGTTGATTGATACCCGAGAGAGGCGACAGCGAGCACAAGGCGTAAAGCTCGCATTTACGACATTCATCTGATTACGCCGCCCGCATTGTTCTGTGCCGTATTGCCTTGTTAACCCAGGGCGATTCGCCAGAGATGCGATACTTGCATTGTGTCAAATGACAGCTCTGTTTACGGCAAGCATATGCTCACTGACTTTGCATCGATCGCATCTCATTACGGTTTGCCGCGGTTGTGATTTCTAATAAAAAGACGATTTGCTGCATATTATCTGAGATATTCAGTCTGTTTGTTCCCATCGTTAGTACATTCGGACGATTTACTTTCTCAGGTAAGTTTTTAATCCTTCATCTTCGACTTTTCACATTTTAAAGGCACATACATTCCAATTTTCCCAGCTATTTCGAGGAAAGCCACCTTCTCGTATTTATCTATGTAATCATTTTTTTTTTTTTTTTTTGATTGATTGAAAAAAAGAAGAACAATTTTACCCAAAACATTTCAAACATGCATGTGGGCATATCGCTGATTATTTATATCTTTCGCTTCCGAGACATTTCATTGAGCCTTTATAATTATATTCGAAAATAGATCTTTCGTTTCCTGAATTTTTTAAAACATCAAAAATTGGCCTACAGCTGTAAGAGCAGCCCCACTGGTGCCTGGTCAGATGTATTCTATGTAATGCATACTTCATAACCCAATACCTTCGAGGATAAGAGATCTACAGGCGGAAGAATAAGAGATGGAATCTTACTTGCGTAGCATATTTTATGATAAAGAGCTTTGCAAGAATATGCATTTTCGTGATGTAATCAAATAGGCCATGTCCGTAATGTAATCAAATTTAAAGCAAAAAAATTTGTTCAGTGCCTCGTTACAAATTATTTCATTCACCTTCTACGATTAATCGTATTTCAATATTCAGAATGTGTATTGCATATAATTTGTTGCTAGGTAAGACAAGCCATAATGTTTGCCCTACCTGGCAACAATTGGATGTATTTTGTTCAGTGCCTCGTGACGAATTATGTCATTAACCTGCTACGAATAATTGTATTTCAGTAGTCAGGTTGTAAATTGCATACATAGGTAAGCGTAATGTTTTGTCCGATCTAGGAACGTTAATGCACTTTGCATTCTCCCTTTTGAGATACAAGGATATGTAACAGGACATTGTAATTGATCGTCGCTAATAGGTAAACGTGTTGGCCTATACATTTTCACACATTTTGTAAATAGTCTGATAAAAGGTTAGAATGAATGAAATGGCAAATGTCATGAACTCGCACTTCCGAACGATCGTTTGTAATCATCAGAGGTAGATCAGACGTCGGTATGTGGCGGAAACCCATCAATTATTATTATTGCAATATTTGTGAATTACACCGGTATGCTGGCATAAATTATAAGCATTATTAAATTGTACATCTTCACGGACTGGCTCCCCCTCCTCTTGTTTGAACTATTGTGCTTAACCATTTTTTTTTATACCGATAAGCTGAATTTGCTTTGATTTGCCTTGTTTTTTTAATATTTTGAAAAATAGATTGAATATGTCAAAAATTAAAAAATGATTAATTAATTCCCCTAAAATATCAAAATTATGAGCAAGAAATAAAATACGAACTTGCGCCTAAGTAACGTTTTAAATCTATTATAGTGAATTCACTTGCATTATTAAAATGAAGACAAAGTGAGATAATGGAACTTAAAGACTTTTATATTCTTGCTTATATTTTGATGAATATATTAAGAAATGTTTTTTTTAATCCTGATTATTGACTAGAAAGCATAACAATAATGATAATAATAATATTGATAATAATAATAATAATAATTATAATAATGGTAATAATATTAATAACTTCAAGTTTTTGTATAGTGCATGACTTGTCAGCATAACGTCTCTATGCGCTTCCAAAGGAACTTTGGATATCATTACCTAGGTTTGAGAACCGGCATCCGTGCATTACGGGATTAAATCATACCAGGTAAAGACTTGCTACGCCTGGGTCGAGGGTGGCACATGTAGGTTATGATGTCTTGCAAAAAGGACGTTAGTGCTGCGGCGTGGATTCGAGTTTCGAACTGTGCGGTTGTTTAAAAGAATGGCTTAGAATAATCATGAAATGCCTCAAATATGCTTCCGCCAAATTTATTAAAAAAATAATCATAACATACCAATTTGTTTTCCCTCGAGGCCTAAGAGAAATGATGTTTCATGGCATGTCCCATTTTAATATTATTGATATTTATTATTGCTCTACATTTGGAATCAAATGTATAATCAGCCAATTATTTCTGCTCATACGTCTGTTATCGTAACAACAACAAATCTAGTGTTTTCATTCGTTGTTACTCCAATGCGCTTAAGGTGTGTATTCTATGATGTCACAATAACTCTTATGCGCAGCTGGTCTTTATTAGTATTATGATGTCACAATTACTTCAATGCGCATGTTGTGTATTCTATTGTGATGTCACAATACTATCAATGTTAATGTGCGTGCGATGTTTATTCTATGATGTCATAATAACCTGAATGTGCGCGCATAATGGTCTTTATTCGGTGACGTCATAAAAACTTCACTGCGCGTACGGTGTTGATTCTATACTTCTTATTGTAACGTACACGTAGCGCAGTCATGGTGATTGAATTTATAACATATAAGATGCTGTGTTTTTCATACAGATGAGCTTATCAACTGAATGGGCCAGCGACATGCGATTTATCTCGAACATCTCGCTCCTCCTTCTTTTCGCGCTTAGCAGTATCCTCCTGGCAGATGTTACCTTAGCAACGGTAACTCTGCCTCCGTTTTTGAGTTACAGTGGAACACTGGCACCCGGGCAGGATGAACATGGTGGAATACCCATGGGAGTCTCAAACGCCAAGTGTGACGATGGAAAGGTAACAATTATTATGCGTCCCTCT